AAGAAGTTCTGCATTAATCTTCTTGACTTTATGTTGTTTCTTTAACATCATCCAGAATTTGGATTTAGCAACGACATAGTTTGGTGCAAAAACTCTTGATCTGAAGATTTCATTTGGGTTGTGAGCTTTATCAGTACATCTGGCTGTGATATAGTATTCCTTCATTCAGACAACGAAACAACTATTTAGGTCAATTTTATTTAGTTCTTCATTTTAGGGTTTATCTTCTTTCTCTATTAATTGTTTATCAATAATAGTATTATAATTATTATTATTTTTACGGTAAAAGTATAGTAAAATATGAAATATGCACTTGAAAATGATAAGAAGTGGAAGATGACAGAGGATTGGAAAAACTTTGAACATAAGTATGACTCATTAAAATTAAACATGAAAAAGGTCCCTTTTATTGATAACGATAACACAAAAACTATGGAAGAATTCATCCATGAAACAGAACAAAATATGAAACCTATCCATGAGGATAAGAGACATTCTGAAGAAAAGAAACCTATACAAAAGAAAGAAAATAACAAAGACTCAAAGAAAGAAGCTAAGAAACCTAATGTGAAGAAAGAATTTAAAAAGTCTAAAGAAACAAATAATGACAAAAAGAAATAATTGATTGTGCGTTTATGATTTAATAAGTAAATGATAAAACTTTAATAAAAAAATAAGATTGAAAAATAATTAAATCAGTAATATTGTTTTATTTCTGTTGTGAACCAATACTTTGTTTATCTAGTGGCTTGCATTTCAGCGATTAAACGTTGGGCAGAAACTATAATGGCATTAGGTGATTGTCCACCTTGATTCTCAGCTTCTTGTGACCATGAACCAGCAGCTCCTCCTTGTGCCCCAGCACTTTGATCAGCTCCTTGTTGTGCAGCATTTGGATCAGCCCCTTGTTGTGCAGCATTTGGGTCAGCTGCACCAGCATCTTGTTCTAATTCATATTCATCATTTTCATCGTTGTTGAGATCGTCTAATTCTGCTTCTTCAAAGTCATCAAAATCATCTTCATCGTCCATTTCATCGAGAAAACCTTCTTCATCATCGTCAAAGAAATCTTCATAATCATCTAAGTCATCTTCAAAATTGTCTAGAAAATCTTCTTCGTAAAGTGCAAAAGAGGCTGCAATTAAAAACAAAAATAAGGTAAATTTCATATTCTTTATAAAATTATAAATTTTTAGTTTCTTTTTTATTTTTCAATTCTTCACTTTTATTTTTTGTAATTTATTTCATTCTTCTGAGTTTTAAGATTATTTATGTACATTTTCAAGTTCCTTCGTGATTGTTTTTGACTTTCAATCTCAGAGGATAATTTAAAGATTCTTCATGAGGCTTTTTGTTGGTTAGAAAAATAAATGAAAACAGTTCACTTCTTATTGGCTTGCTATTTTTTTATATTTTTAGTAAAAGAAATTGGTGGTTATTCAAATGTCATTTCTTTATGGGACAATGATAAGTTCTTTGGTCATGTGTTGTTTCTTCCACCACAACAGTTTATGGCTTTCTTCTTTGGTATTATTTTTATAAGTTGTGTTTGTTATTAGTTAAACCTTTAAAAGGTTTCAAAAATTTATTGTTTTTATAAAAAAATAAATCGCTAAAACTAAGAATTGATAACCTGTTATGTCAGATGATTATTATGCCATTCTTGGTGTTTCTAAAACCGCTTCAGATGAAGAATTAAAGAAGGCATATAGAAAGAAGGCTTTAAAATATCATCCTGACAAGAACCCAGGAGATAAACAAGCAGAAGAAAAATTTAAAGAAATTACTGAAGTTTACCAGATACTATCAGATAAAGATAAACGGGTGTTGTATGACAGATATGGTAAAGAAGCATTTACAAGAGGTTCTAATACTTCACGTTCTGAATTTTTCAATAGAGATCAGTTTGTGTTTAGAACAAGCGAATATGGGACAGACCCATTTAGGTTTTTTGAAGAAATGTTTGGTGGTTTTGGAATGTTTACAAGAGAACAAAATTTTCAAAGAAAAAAGCTTCAAGACTTAACATTTGATTTAAACTTAACACTTGAGGAGATCTTTTTTGGAATAAAAAAAGAGGTTAGGTTTAAACGGATAGTGTCTGAATTTGGGGAAGAAAATTATGAAATAGACAGTGTTCAAGTAAAAATTCCTGCAGGATCAAAAGTTGGCAGTAGGATAGTATTTGAAAATAGAGGTAATAAAAAATATGGTTATAGAGATGGTGATTTAGTATTTATTGTTCAGGCTAAACAACATGAACTCTTTGATTTAAAGGGGAATGATTTACATTGTTCAGTTGATGTTTCTTTAGAAGAATATTTGACAGTTATTAAATTAGAGATAGAAAATATTGACAATGAAAACATTTCACTAGTATTGAATGAACAATATCTTAAAGGAAAAGATATTACTCTTGAAGATAAAGGAATGTTAGTATTAAATAGACGTGGAAATATGGTTTTACATTTAAACGTGAATTACCCAACAACTTTAACAGACAAACAAAAAAAAGAGCTACTTAAAATTCTCTAAAATATTATAAATTTTATTTACTGACTGTTTAAACAAAAGACTATTTTAAAAGGTAAATAAAAAAATCAATTCAAATAGGTTTTTATTGTTATTTTGAAGGTTGAACAAGAGTAGGTTTTTTATTATTTTTCTTTGGTTTTTTAGCTTGAACATGTTTTTTCAATTCACTTGACTTTAAACAAGGAGAATTTTTAAACATTTCTGGAAGAACAACAAAACGAACTTGATTACCTCGAATAAAAATATACTCAGTTCTAGATTGGCTTCCATCTTTTGCAGTAATAGTCACATCCTAAATAAATTATTCTACTTGTATTAAAGAATGCAAAAATATAAACAAACTCTTAACTGACAATTCATATTATCTTCTGTTTCAACCATTCTACCACGGTATGTTTCTCCTGTTTTTACTTCAATAGTGACTATTGTACCTTTACTTTCATGAAAAATTTTAAGTGGTGCACCTATATTCATATTGGCTAATACTTTTTTTAGTTCTTTTTATTCAATTAAAATGGGATATATAACATAAATAATACAATTACAGATGTTCAAGGTAGATAAGAGTTTTCCATAACTCTATTGTATATTCAAAAGCGACTGGTCCAATAATGCCTGCCAACGCTTCTTTAAACTTTAGGAATGATGGATGAGAATATAATAAATCCCATAAAAATTTATTAAAGTGAGAATTAGAAGAAGAGGTATTGAATAATTTATCTTCAATAATTCTCAAAGCACCATCAATCATTTCTTTTTGATGAATAAGTACTTCCCAATTAATAGGTTGTTCTTCGATATTTGTCAGTTGGTCAACTTGAGCGATTAAATCCATTTCATCATTATAAGGTACTTTTTGGTCTCCATTTCCTTTTGTATTGTATAATTGAATATCTAAAGTGTATTTTAGATCTTTTCCAAAGAAAGACAAATCATCATATTCAAATTTCGATACATCTTCCATTTTGTCTTTTATTTCTTTATTATTTTTTTTTTTTAATTTTTAATTTTTTTCTTTTCAGTTTGTCATTATTTATTAACTTATTCGATAATAACTTTTTTAATAGTTTTTTAACTAATAAATTAATTATTAATTTTAATCTCTAATTATTTGGGAAAAACCCAAAAAAAGAGTGTTTTATTAAAAATTCACTTAGTTAAACCTCACTTTTTTTCTTGTTTTAAATTTCATTGTTTTATCAATAAAGAAAAAGCACTATTTTTTCAGTTTTTAGTACAACCTGAATTTAAGTCATCTCATAAATCAAAGATATATCTTAAATAAAAAGAGATGTCAGTGAAAGACTATATTTTCCAAAATAATCAAAATGTAATACGTAAAATGAAGAAAAAAGACTTACTTAAAGCAGATACTGTTGAATGTCAAGTTGCAGGAGCAATTTTTGGTATAAAAGAAGTATATTCAGTAAATCAATGTGTAGAAGACAGTAAATTAAGGAAGATATTATTTCATAATGGTCATATTAATCTTGTTGACTTTTCTTCTGAAGTAAAAATTGATGCAGACAAACGACCATTTCAATACCATGCATTATTTCTTGCACCTCGAGTTAATAATCATTTCTTTTTTGAAGAAGGCAAAACTTTTTGTACAAAAAAATTGTCTATTAAATCACCAACAGTGATAGAATTTGTACCTCTTAAAGGGTGTTTATTTGTTTTACAAATTTGTAGAGAAAAAGTTAATGAAACAATAACTATAAAGAGTAATGGAATTGTTTTATCTTCATTCACAGAAGAAATAATCCAACCAATTCATCAAAATACAGCACTAGGAATAAAATTAGATATGAAATCAATTGAAGTTTATGTTAATGGTAAGACTCAAAAACAACTTAAATTTATTGGTACTGAAATCACACTAAAATATGATAATTTATTACCAAGTATACTTGATATTAATGATGGAATTTTTCCTTATCTTTATGACTATGGTCCTACTACTCCATTATATATTCAAATGCTAGAAAACTCTGATTTAGCACAACTTCCAGTACCTTTATTTCAATTTTTACCAAATGACTTTGAAACAGATTTTGCAGCAATGATTTATTCTCATAACACCACTTTTCTTAAAGAACTTTTAAGAAAAACAGGTAAACCTAAATATTGTTTTAAAAAAGAAAATTGTTTAATTGCTGCATGTCAAGTAGGTGATATAGATGGATATCAATTTGCCTTAGGTAATAACAAAAATAACATATTATTATTATACAATCTTGTCTACGATCTATTACTTGGAGAAATTACATTGAATAAAAAAATAATCTTATTTGATATTGTAAAAAAAGAGTCAAATAAAATATCACTCTCTAAAACACTTGAAATTATAGGATTAATTGGAGATATTAAATTATTTGATGAATTATATCAAATCTACTTAAATAATAAAAAAACAAAATCATCATTTTTTCTTCCTTTCGATAAAATATTAAAGAATTGTGTTATTGCTAATCAAAATTCATTATTTTCTTATGTCTGTTCATTACCTGAGATTATGGATTTGACACCTCCAAGTATAAAAATGATAGTAGAGAGTATTCTTACATTTGGAACTAATCAATTACTAACAGAGTTTATGAACAGTTGCCAAATCCAAGATTTGAAAGGTACTGTAATTACAATTGTAGATACTACTAACTCTGATGTTATTAAAAAAGCTATTGAATTAGGATCTTCATTTAATGAAACATTGTTTTCTTCAGTCTCAACAAATTTTAATTTATTTAAAACGGTTATTGAATTAGATCCTTCAAAAATAAACAGTTTCAATGGTTCAGATACTTTATTGCATTATGCTGTAAATAGAGAAAATGAACAAGCAGTGAAATATATCATTTCAAAAGGAGTTGATACTGAAAGTAAAAATAAAGATGGAATTATTGCAAGTCAATTATATGATATAAATCCATGTATTTTAAAACTTCTTCAAAAAAGACCAATAAGTTATTCACTGAGTGGTCATATTGAGGATTATAATGAAGTTGATTGCAATTATCAGTTATTTAAAAAAGATGGGGAAGTGTATGGCTTTTGGATTAATAAAGAAACAATATCATATGGACTCTTTAAAAATAAAAAATTTACATCAGTTGTACAAAAAAAATTACCAAATGAATATGACTGGGAACATTTTGTTATTGAAAAAACACAATTTTCAGATAATAAATTATACATTATAAATAGAATAAATAAAACAATTATTATTCGTTGGGATTTACAAAATAATCTTAGTGTTATTGAACCAATAGATATATTAATGAATGAATGGAATTATTGTATATTTAATGACACACTTATTCTATTATCACAACAACCAGATAACCCAAATAATAAAATTTTATATCAAGCGGAACTCACAAATTTTGCTCCATTTGTAAAATTAATAAATAGCTCTATTAAAACATCGTCCGATATTTTAATTAATGTTAATGGATATGTTGCAGTCTTAGACATTGATGAAGAAGTTATTGAGAAAGGAGTTAATGAAAGAAAAATTGGTGACTTAAGAAAATTAAAAAATGCAGTATCAATTTTTAATGGAATTGAATGGACGTATAAACAATTTGGTGTTGTAGATAAAATTTCTAATGAAATAATTAGGAAAGTTATA